TTTAAGACCAACAAAGTTTTATTCTGCGTATAAGATTTCATCTCCACATACACTACTTCAGATACATTTTTTTAAAAAGCAGATTAAGATATCATAAACCAAAGACACTACTAAAACCCGAGGGAACATCTCTTAAGACACAAGAGTTGTTGCAATCTAAGCCTCCAAAGGCAACAAGTTCCACAACAACAGGTCAGCTGCCAAAAATACCTTTATCTAGTCAGTGTATGCCAATCTGGCCTGGAACAGATTTGGCATGGGAATAGATGCTTCCTCAGGTGCATCAGGTCTAACCAGCAACTTCTTTATTTACCTCTCCCCACAGTGGGTACCCAAAGCAGCTTACGCCATTCTTCCCTCCTTCATTTTACCCTCATGACAACTTTGTGAGGCAGGTTAGGCTGAGTTTGTGTGACTGGCCCAAGGGCATAAGAACATAAGAACATAAGAACATAAGAGATGCCAATGTTGGATCAGGCCAAAGGCCCATCCAGTCCAACACTCTGTATCCCACAGTGGCCAGAAATACCAGTGCCATCAGGAGGTCCACCAGTGGGGCCAGGACATTAGAAGCCCTCCCACCGTTGACCCCCCCCCAAGCACCAAGATGACAGAGCAACACTTGCCCCAGAGTCCCTATCTATACCTTGTGGCTAATAGCCACTGATGGACCTCTGCTCCATATGCTTATCTAATTTCCTTTTGAAGACGTCCATGCTTGTAGCTGCCACCACCAACAAGCTTCCATGGCAGGGTGGCGATTTGAACCTGGGCCTGCCAGATCCTATTCTGAAACTCTCACCACCATGCCACACTGAGACATGAGGTTTCCAGAAAAATATGAATCAGAACATTTTCAAGTGTCCTAAACTAACAATCTGATCTAGCTTATATAATTTGACTGCTGACATTCAGCTAACAAATTTTTATGCAATGTTGGTTTTATGTTCCAGGAGCAATAAATGCTTAAACTGAAATATTTTCTTAGAGAAAAAACATAATTCAAGTGTGGTTTAAATGCTATACTCAATCCAAAGCTCTATGTAGAAATTATTTGTGTGTGTGTGTGTGTGTGTGTGTGTGTGTGTTAACTGCCATCAAGTTGCTTCTGACTTATGGGAATCCTATGCATTGAATGTCCTCCAAAGCATCCGATTGCCCCCATATTCGGAATAAAGAGTCAGACACGGAAGGGTGGATGAAGTATGGGCCACTTTATTAAATTACAGTTGGAAATAACGGCAAGGGCAAAATAGGGAAAGCGGCATGATCCGGGCCAAGGGTCAGTGTTGACCCTTCCCCAGTCGCAGGACGCGGAGCCACCTCACCCCCAGCTTGAGCCAACCTGTGTGGCTCTCCGCCGGCAGGCACAACGAAAGACATGCCCTGGAGATCCAGCCCCAAGTCG